CCCAGCCCGGTGCCCCCCGGCGCGTCCCCCTTTCCCCAGCGATCCCCCGCGGCCACCTTGCTTGGTGGCCCCTCGCCTCCCCCGGCACCGTGCACCCCACCGCCGCCGGGGTCTGGGTAGTGCCCTGTCAGGCAGGGCCTCCCCTGCCGCCATGAGGAGCCCTAATTCCTCTCCAGCTCCTTGGAGACCTCCTTCAGGGAGGACATCATCTCCTCGGAGGCCTCCTCCGTGCGCAGCCCTGCCTTGGGTTGTTCGCTGTGGGGAGACGCGGTGGCCACGTCTCCCTGAGTGCCCTGGGGTGGCCTTGGCTTCTTCAGGGAGACCCCCCTCACCACGCTGCAGCCCACCAGCGCTCCCCTTTTAGATTTACCCACCGTGGTCCCGTCGTGAGGAATCGCCCCATGTTGGGGAGCGAGGCCTGGCTGAACGCTAGCGTGTACTTGTAGATGATTCGCCTTAAAGTGTATTGAAGCATAAAATGACATTACATTTGGCAAAGCACGTTAGCATTCAGGGGATTTAAAATAACTGGTTCTTTTGTACTATGTTTTACTAACAGGGAAGAAATTTGTGTATGTTGAGCCACCTAGGAGAGTTAAAGACATACTTGAAGAAGAGCTTTATTTTCGGACAGAAGCATGCCATGTTAAACATCCAGCTGCAGGTAATCTTCCTTATCAGCAAATGGCAAGTGTTTGTCAGGGCAAATATAAATTGTTTTAAGGAACTGTGGCAAAATTGTTATTTTCAAAAAGCAGCCCCAAACAATTATGTAATAGCCTGGGGAACATTTAGAAACAGAACAACTGCATGAAGTCTTTGTTAATTTTTTTTCATCTGAAATTACAGGACCATAGAGAACATCAGTATGATCTATTAGTTTAATAAAACAGAAACAAATGCCAAGCAGTAGGGAGGTTTTGTTACCTTTTTCTTTGAAAGAAGTGCTGTAGTTATTAGAATACTTTCTCCCCTTCTGCTGTTCAGAACTGAAGTTGGTGAGGTAAGAATGATAAAGGTAAATAAAGGACAGGTAAACAGTGAAAGCAATTAGAAAATCAGTCTGTTTAGGCAGCTAATGGAGGATAAAGGTTATGGAGAGACTTGATTACAGTAGGCAAATGAGGAAATGGAAGTCTAAGAGGAAATAAGGTGTTCAGTCTAGCTAGACTATTAGAAGTTCCGAGAACTGGAGGTAAAAATGAGATAAGATCAGAAAAGAAATAATTTGCGGTTTTTAACAAAACGAGAACTTAATGCTGGAACAATTAAACGAAGATCAATTAGATTCACCATTTTTAATACACACTTTAAATATTTTGCACTTAAACCGCTAGCCCTGGTCCAAGCTCTTTTGCTAATCTTGGTGCAGTAATGAGCCTGAAGCCATGTGACCCATATAAGACAAAACTCACATCATGCTGGTGCTCTCCTGCAGCCATAAGATCTATTAATCTAACTGTAGGAAATTAATTTTAAGAAGTTTGTAGTGTTTAGGGATAGGTCATCTTATCTGGTTGACTATGAGATTTTATTGCCTTTATCAGCCAAGCCATTGTATTTTATTAGGTACCTCTGTGTAGAGTCCACTGAGTAAAGCTCGTTATTCCACAGCTTCCCTCATTAGTTTGTACAAGTGATTGGTGTATTTAAAAAAAAAAGCCTGATTAATAATTTGGATTTGCATGATTTAGCTCCTTGCTTTTCTTGGATATGTAATAGTGCCTGTTTTAGTATCCAGGATTTTCTTACAGAGAAGGTATATACACGTATATTTGGTTTTGGCTCTTTATGTACTCTCACCAATTGTTTTGCGTCCTCTTTTAAAAAGTGAATACTAAATCTGATCATGGTATTTCAGTATTTGTATCACTAGTAACCTGTAGAGAGAGAGAGAATCACCTGCTTATTTCAGCGCTAACATTAGCACTAGGACCTTGAACTGTCTACTGTTACTCCTAAATCCATGATGCTTTTGTTCCACAATACACAGTTCCCATTCTGTAGCCCCACATTCTCTTCCATAGAATAAAGCTATTCCTTAGTTATATTAAGCTGCATTTTGTTGGAATAAGCCCCTACTATGTTTCCTAATTATTACATTGTCCACAAATGTAATAAGGGCATTTTTGCCTTTGTTTTGAAATTTGGAAAATTTTTTAAAAAGTCTGGTTTCTCACATAGGATTGAGACCCAAATCTAAACTCAATAAAAATGAATTTAAAACAGTTGGATTCACAGAAAAAATATGTATAAGTTAGGTGATTTAATCAGTATCCTGTCAGATGTAAAGACCATTTGAACCTGCAACTCCATTACTGTGATTAGGCTTCTTAGGCAATTACAGCACACACCTGCAAATGAATGAGATAGGCTCTGTTTATAGTAAATGGAGAGAAAAAGGCACTTTGAAAACGCAATTCTTCTGACTTGTCCTAGGGACCTACTGTTGCATGTGTCATGCTCTACAAGTGCCTGTTCCTTTCCCATTGACTGTAAAGGGGTTCTGGACAAGTAGCTGAACTGCAGATGCTAACATTGGTCTGCTCATGTATCTCAACAACTTCAGCAAGTACCTAGTTCCTTTTCCATCTGTATACATCTGGAGAATTAGAGATGCTCCCTAAGTGGTTGGGGCTCTGATAAACAACAATTGTCAGGTTGGATGGTTACTGATTTACATAGTTTAGATGATTAGTAAGTTTATTGTTTCACATAAAATAGATGGTTAGTAAATTGTAACCTTTCCACAAAATAAATAAGCTTTTTTCATTTGTTTTGGTGGTGTTGCAGGGGGGGATTGGTTGGGGAGGGGGTGTTCTGCTATCTTTTTATGAGGGCGTTTGGTATTCCAGTATGACCAATAAATCATGTTGGATGCATCAATGGTATTACTGCTGTTTCTCATATGTTATACATCAGCTGCATCCTGCTTCACCTAGCAGCCTAGCAGTCCTAAGCTATTCTACAGACAGCAGAGAGTGTTGTGTATCTTTAGCAATCTGAATTGCTCTCTGAAGGTCTCAATCTCTTTTCATTAACTATGGAGGAAGATTAGAGTGTTCTGCTTAACTACTTCTAATTACTGTATAGACCAAAGGGACTGTCTTTTAAAAGTTACATTAGTTCTAGAACAAGTGGAAGTAATCAGTTATAATGGTATTATTTTGACAAATTATTAACAGTGGCTCTGGAGGGAATTTGGAGTTTGAAAAAGAATTTCTCCATTGGAAGCCTGAAACCAGTCTCACAGAACAGAAATGGTTTACTTTTACAGCCTCAACTCTACTCAAGGCATGCAGGAATGAAAAGTAAGAGTCAATAATGAGAAACTTTCACTGTAACACTTAATTTTAAAATTTCAGGGTAATATAATTTTATAATTCATAGACATCTCACAGGACTGCAGATCTGGTTTGTTCAATGTTATTTTTTCATCAGATTACCTACATGGTCTTACAGTAATAACCACCGGGCATCTTTTTGCAGAGCTAACCCACCTCTTCCTTTAGTAAGTAGCCAACAGACTTGAAATTTTTGCATAAGAAACCTGTTTAGGACAGCTATGTTGAGTCACCTTATTTCATATTCTGAAACCTTTTGTAAACATGTGGAATAATCACTTGTTTCCTGCTGATGAGTGGTGAGTGTTGGTTTCGTGTGGATAATGAACCTTACTTGCCTTTCTTAACATCCAACCTTAAGCAATTCAAATGTTTGGAAAAGCCCTCCTTCCAAGACACATTCTGAAAGAGATTGATCCAGGTATCATTTCAGGCATTTTAGCATTTGCCTGCAATGGTCAGCTGGTGCTCTGGGGCATGTATTTCTTTCTCTACAGTCAGTGGAGTGTGGCTTTTGAGGAGCAGACCTGTTCCTTGTGAGCTGGTGGATTTTAGCATAGTCTCCTCAATGTGCCCACCTTCTCTCTTTCAGTGAAATGTATTAACTTGTAGTGGAAGGTGAAAGCTTTCAACTCTAAGGAAACAGAGTTCATTAGCTTTATGAGAGTAATATTGTTGGTACCATGAGCTTGCAGAATATATGAACTCAGCATATTTTGCCATTAAATGAAGCTCCTTCCCATGTTCTCAGGGGCTAGTGGTTTAAAAATACAGCTAGCTTCATGACTAGCACCTCTTTCTTCCTATCTTGATCTTGTGAGCTCTGGAGGTAGTGGCATCTTAGTTACAACAGCAGCATGAATTAAGTTATTGCTAGTATAAGAAGCATTTAACCAGTACAGCCTTCTGCCACGCTGCCTTTGCTCTAGAGAGAGTACTTGTAGGAACATTTTGTTTATAGAGCAGGCCTAATCTGTGCCAGGTATTAACTGCAGTCACTTCTGGTACGTGCTTGAACAAGGAGAGTTTTAGCCACACCATAGAAAATACAACCAAATAATGCCTCAGAGTTTGGAGACGTTGGCACAATTTTAAAACTCATGTACCTGAGGCTTCTAGTGAAGGCATGCAGTTGTCAAAGATCAGGATCTCTGTTTCCCATGAACATCCATGAGGGAAGAACAGCATTAAAATAAAGCAATTTATTCAAATTGTTTTAGATGCTGAAATTTATGGGCTTTTTTGGTTTTCCTTTGGGAATTTAGATGTACCTTCATTCCCAGGGACTGCTGCTAGAGACAAGTGATGCTCTCCTCACTAGCTATACTGCCTGTTGTGCAGCAGAATAGGCAGGTATCGTGAGAGAAAGGGTGGCAGAAAAGATACAAGACAGGAGAAAAACTGGGAGCAATCTGGCTTCAGCTCCAATACTCACCAAACTGTTTCCATTCACACACCCTTTTCTGTGTAAGGATCTGGAAAAGAAATGAGGTGGTAATATACTAATTGGGAGATGGAGTAGGTACAGGCTATGGAAATGGACAAAAAAGAAGAGGCGTTTCTAGAGAGAAGATGAACCTACTGTGTTTAGTGCCAGAAGGAGAGGCACCAGCAAAAGGAAAAGGAGGAAGCACAGACAAGGGGAATGAAAGAGGAGACATAGAACAGAAGGTCAGGAATTCCTGAAGGGAACTGGGGAGAGGAGAACATAGTTCAGCAACACAGAGATAGAAACTGTAAGAAATGAAGGGAAAAGATGTATGAGAAATAAGTAGAAGAGTCAAAAAGAAAAAAATATATACTCGTGTTGCTGAATTTACTGAAGTTAATGCATTTATTTTTGCTTCTGCCATTTACTGCCTTTCCCTAGAAGTGACTAGTGGTTTGGGGGACTTGCTCTGTGGTGTCTCATCCATGCTTACAGCTGATCTTGTTTTTTTACAGATTGATGAACTTTAGTGCTACGAAGACCTGAGCCTGTTGTGATGTGTCAAATCAAACATTAAATTGACTAGTTGCCTTTAGAAACGTAGATTAGTATTTCTAAGATTTTGAAGAAAGTACTGTTTGGATAGGGAGCCATTTCCTTGGTTGTTGTTTTATTCCTATCCTCCTACTGCTTTTTAACCAGATGTAGTAGCCAAATCTGATCCACGTTTCAGCCAGTGATGAAGATGTCACAATCCAAAGACAACAAAATGTTCTTGCTGACAAAAATGGGCTACTGTGAAACTTGACATTTTCATAGGCCTCTCTGTTCAAAGTGATTCTAAGTTCCAGCAGAAGATTGTAAAGTAATTGAAGAAATGCCTTAAAATGCCTTAGACAGAGTCCATTCATTAAACTGAGCAGTTCGTAAGTCAAAAGTTTGTGATTCAATATCTAGCCTGACTTACTAAAAGTTTAACATCAATAAGCCTCTCGATATATGTAAGAGTTATCATAGTGTCAAAGAACCACAGAGGCAGCATAGAACCTGAAATAACCTGTCACTAAACTCTCGGTCTTAACCATTGTTACAACAAGGTAATACCAAATGATCGTTAGTTTGTTTTGTATTATAACACCACTTAGGAAACAAATATGGATCCTTCTAGGCACTGCATAAAACCAGAACAAAAGATAGCTTTGCAAGGTCATGGATGATTTGAGGAGGTCCAGGGACAGGAGTGACATTTGCAGCTACAGAATAGCTTCAGTGCTCTGGTAGCAGACGAGGGCCTGGAAGCTCTCTCCAGCAAAGCATCTGAGCTGGCTGAGCCTGAGCCATGCAGGAGGAAGTAAACAGTGATAGTAGTTGGAGAATCCCTGCTGCGGGAGGTGGAAGCTCCCATTTGCTGCCCCAGCATGCTCTCTGGGGAGGTTTGTTGGGGTGCTGAGATCTGGGACAACGTACCGAGTCTTGTCTGGGTCTTGGACTTTTACTCCCTGCTGCTCTTCCACGTGGACACCAAATATACTGCCAGGGGAGACGTGGAGCGTATCAAGCATGACTACATTGCTGTGGGGCAAGTCAAAGACATAGGGGCCCGGGTGGTTTCTCCTCAATCCTACTGGTGAGGGAGTAGGGCTTGAGGAATTGATGGATCCTGTAGGTCAACTATTGTTTGCACAGCTGGTGCTGAAAATGGGAAGTTGGCTTTTATGACTATGGGATGTCCCCTCTTTGAGGACTAAGAACTGCTAGGATGAGATGAGATTCACCTCAACATGTAGCGCCACAGCCGTGTTTGTACCATATCTAGAAGGATCCATGATTGCTTCCTAAGTGCTGTGATAACGCAGGAAACACATAGTAGTGATCATTTGCCTGATGAACCTGGAGAACTGTAAGAAGGAGTGACAGGGGAGGGAGATGAAAACCCACCATCAAGTGAGGAGGTGGTGGACCAGGTTGGTAGGCAGGATATTTCCTGTCTTCATGTTTAACAATCCAACTTAATGATCAGTCTTTGCCTTATTTCTAGAACAATTGTAGCATGTTCTTTTCCAAATTAATAATACTTAGCACTTACTCTACAGTTTTCATTGCCAGAATTCTTCCCAGACATCCCTCCAGCACATTTGTGGGACAAACAAGCATTACTGTCATTATAAAGGAGGGTATTGTATTGTACAGTGAAAAAAAATTAACTAGGACCGATGCATAACTTAAAATCAGAGTTGAAGAATTCCTTATTTCCAGTTCTATCTCAGACTGATAATTCACATCTTTCCTAGGATGTGATCCTAAGAGGTGGAGATGGGATTTGTTTCTGGGGCTCTCAGATGCTACGGAAGTATCTAAACCAGACTGAATATTGTTAAAAGGGAAGAGTCTCAGTGACGACTTTGTGAAGCTAGACTTTGTTTTCCTTTGCTATTTTTACAGTTATCTGTGAATGAAATGGGATGTTTGTTTTATTGATTGTCTGGAACTCCTCTAACACTAAAACTTTGTTGTTATTTTTATATTAGTGAGAAGGGGAAAAAAATACCCTTACTTGGCTCCAAACCAACTCTTTTCAGCATTTCCATTTGACTGCTAAACAAAAAAAAATTATTGGCACTGAAAATTGCACCTGAGGCACTAGAGGAGTAGCTGCTTTTGAAAACATTATTCTCACTTTTTAGATGCAAATTTGATCATGAACCACACAATAATGTTTGAAAAACACTGGGTTTTCAGATAGATGCTTTGATTAAGCTTGTTGCATTTCACTTCTGCTCCTTGCTTCATTTTTATTCTATGCCCATCCCCCTGCTTTCTCATTCTTAGTATTATTTTTTTTCATGATCTTGTTTTAAAATTTTCCAAGTGAAAAGACTTTCTGGGTCTATCCTGGATTTGTGCACTAGCTCAGTTTTGCCGCAACAAAGGCAGATTTGTGAATCTCATTTGTGCCTTTGCTCCCTCTTCCTTTTTGTGCAACCTTGTACAACGGAGAAATGTCTTTTAGATCTTTTCTACTGAATATTTTATTTCAGTTATGAGGCTTGGGTAATTCTTAGCAGTCCAATATATTCATGTTCCTGACCTTTTTATGTGTCTTATCTTTCATTTGAATAAATCTAAGGAATTTGTTTGAATATAATAAAATTGCATAATATTGCAGTAATCTTATTAATATTACTATCATATTTATAATATTTCATTAAGTGGGGTTTTGGGCAATTTAGCTGTGCTCACATTTTATTGTAGTGATTTTTTTACTGTCTTAACTGTTCAGCTACCCTTTTCTCTTAGCTTTTTTTAATATTATTTCATTTCCAAACTAAACAGTACTGTTTTAAAAGACAAATGTTATCATTGCTTCCATATATTAATAACAGTGTTCAAACACTGACATCTTTCAAAGGCTACACCTACATTATCAAGCAATGAAGCACAATAAGAGGGGTTCAGATTATTAAATCAATTGGTATTGAGAGCCCCATAACTAGACTATATGTGATTTAGGAGATTTACCTCAAACTAGAGCTAGTCTTGTCTCCTGGGCTG